GGACAGAAAACATTTTTATATTTTCACGAATATTAGAGTTATAATTTTCCTATATAAATTATTCCCACACTATACGATCTCCAGCCATCAAAATAACACATGCTCATACCCTCTGATTCTGCAATTCTACCTTCTAGAATTTATCTTACAGATAGACAAGTACGCAAAAGAAGTATATTCATGACTATTCTCTGCAGGATTGTGGTTTAGAGAAAATAACTGGAAACAACCTAAATTTCCAGCAATAGGGAATGCCTAAATATATCATGATACATACAGACAGTGGAATATTATGAAGCCACTGAAAAGAATGAGGAGGTTACTAACACGATACATCACTAAGTAAAAAGAACTGGATCAGTGTTCATAATAAACTACCAGTTTACTTATTAATGCATTGAATGGCTAAAAGAATACCTCAGAAACTGGATAACGATGATTGCTTCTGGGGAGGGGAGCTGTGGGACTGGGATAAGAAGAAAGACTAACCTTTCATACTAAACCTTTTATATTATTTATATGCAACACTTATTCAAATAAATAATTTTGAGTGTTTTATTAAAAAGGTAGGCAGACCATTCATAAAAGAATAAATACCAATAATCAACAAATGAATGGAAAAGTTTAACCTTAAAGAAGTGCGAATCAAGACAGCAATGAGAGACCATTCTCAATTTAAGAGATTTAATTAATTCAGTCTCTAGATTCTTAGGTAAATAGGTGCTAGCAAATCCCAACAGGTGATTTCTGCTGTGGAAGAGGAGGGGCCTGGCTCTCTCTAGAGCGGTGGTGAGATGCTTGGCACAAAGAGGCTGCTTTTAAATACCCACCGTGGCTCCACACCCGTCACAGAAGCAAGCCCCCTGGCGATCCCAGCGACCACATTTGGAGCAGGAAATGGTCTCCCCTTTCTGAGTGGGCCCAGGAGGAGCTTTATCTCCACTGCACATGGACTGGTGAACACAACAGCATTTACAGGCAGATCAATACCTTATTCTCCAATCCCCCTCCCAATCCAGAAAAGAAAAAAGTCAAAAATCAACATAAGCCCTGGAAATAAGGTATTCCTGCCCCAAAGAAGAAAACTATGATGATCTTCACTAATTAATAAACTACAACAAAGAGCTCACATTCCTTTACAGAAAGTCGATGAAAATGGTGCCTCAAACATCTTGATATTCCTGAGTATCCTTAATACCAAAAAATAGCAAGCTGACTGTTGACTTACTATAACAATATTAATAAAGACTATAAGGAGAGCTGAGCTACCTAAGGTGTCATGATTGAGATTCATCTTCTATGCTCTGGGGTTCTGATTCCACATGGAACTGTGAATTTATTTTCCACTCTCAACACATGAAAAGAATTATTTTATTTTGGGAAGGAGATAAAATTGTTTTGTGAGAATTTCTGATACTTTGTTAGGTAAACTTGGATTAGAATCTTTGTTCCTGCTATCGCCTAGTAAGAGATTTTCTCATTAAATGAATGGGATGATAGTATTCATCATTGCTATACGATCACCTACTATGTGCAGGCACCATTCTGAGCACTGCCCTGTACCCTCACATTAAACTATATGATAAACTTGTAAGGTGGGTGTAATCATCTCTGTTTCACAGAGAGAGAAAATGAGGCACAGAGAGGGTAAGATGCAAAATTTGAACTCAGGCTATGATGTTTATCCATGATTCCATGCGTCCTCTTCAATACAACAGTTTTCTCACAGGTCTGTAATGGAATTTCAGATGGCTAATGGCAATTGAGTATGTAGGAATGGTTAGCACAGGGTCAAGCTCCATATGTCAGCTTCTTTCCCTTCTCATCTTGTTTTCTACCAGATCCTGATTTCTTTCAGGAAAAGGACTATCATTTCACTTTATTTTCCCACTAGCACAGTACCTGGTACCTTGGCACATGGGAGTCATTCAAGTAGTTACTGACTGACTGACTGACTGAATGAATAATTGATTCAGCTAATAACTGAATATATGTACCACCGTACATTCCATGTATAATATTAAGAATATCCATACTGGGGAAAAAGTTTTCTAAGGACAATTTTTCCTCAAAACCAAAAAGTTTTCTAAGGACAATTTTTCCTCAAAGACCAATATTTCCTCAAGACCTGCTTTACTTCAGGTACCCTTCTGTTATCCTAGAACAGATATCTCTCCAGAAAGAGGCCACATCAGCCCACAACACCCACAGAGACTGAGAAGGAAGATCTTTCTTTGTGCATACTTACCCTTACCACATTTCTGTGCAACTAGGGGTGACTCCTGGGGATAAATCAAAAGAGAAACCCCTTGCACAGTTTTGCTTCAACTTAAATTTCAATTTATCCTACTGTTAAAACAGAGTTTTGATAATACTTGCTAACATGGGTTTCTAAATATAAATATAAATATAAATGCACCTACTGTTTAAGTGGATTTTTGAATATAACATTGCTTTAAAGAAAGAACAGTAATCTTACTCTATTCATATTACTGCTGCTAAACAAAGAAAAGACATAAAGCTTCAGACTGAAAATGCATTGTTACTTCAATGGCACTTCAATGATAAATACTCTCATTGTGACATCTAAACTCTGACATACATTCAGAAAAAAATACAATTTTGAAAACAAATTTAATTTTGTAATTGTTCCCGAAATCGTTTTGTTGATAGGTGAGACCCAGAAACAACTACATAACCAACAATTAATAAAATCAATTTAAATCATTTTACTATTTATATAAGAAGCCCAAAATGTCTGAGAAAATAATCTTTTGCTTGTCAATTTACTTAAATCTATCAGGAAGAGCACTCCAAGAATTCTCGAGTTCCACGGTTTCCTTTTTTTATGTTTTCCCAATCTCACTATTTTTTCTCCCTAATGCCTTGGAAAATTATAAAGTCTGAAGCTAGGTTAAGTCAGAGAGATAAACAATTAACAGCCAACAAAAGACTACCCTAGAATTGCAATAGATTTGATTTGCGAATAGATGGGTTTTCTTATTAAATTTGCCAGCTCATTAGCATATTTTTAATCTCAGTTCTGAAAAAGAAATACATATTATGTAACAGAAATCATCTTTTTAAAAAGCTATTCAGATTTTTGTTCTAGTTATGATGGAATAAGATCATACCTAATGACCCCCATACAGAAAACAACTACAAAATCTGCTCATAATACATATAGGAACAGAAGCAGAGAGCCTCTTGAAGCAAGTACACAAGCAGGAGCAAGGGGGTTACACAAAAAGTTAGTTCCCTTTTAGCCTGGGGCTAAGTAAGCGTAGTCCACAAAGTGCATGTGAAGTGGTGGGGAAAGGGAAGTATTTCTGGCTAGGAGAACGAGAAGACTAAAGCTGGGTAATATTTGGCTACTGCAGAGGTAAGAAACTCCCAGAAAGAAGAGACAAGAGGGGATTCTCAAATTCTGTGTACTCACATCTCTTATTGACCCATGAACAATATACATGCACAGAACACTCAAAGCAGCTCAGCCAAAGATGAAATATCTGAACAGAACCCAGACTTCCTGCTCCTCTCCCTCCCACCGAAAAACAATTTTCTTGTTTTCTTAGTATCTTGAGGAATTTTAGATTATATCCTGGCATTATAAATGTTAAGTTGTGGTTCTTCTGGATTTTTACTATTCTCTGATGAGTGCTGAGTTTCTGTGTTTGTTGCTTTGTTTGTTTTATTTTGTTTTGATTTAGCAGGCAATAATACACATGACTAATTTTGGGAACGCACTGCCTAGAATTGAAATGAAATGAAATTGAAATGAAAATTAATTGAGTCCATCTGAGATGATTCAGATGTTGAAATTAGCAACCAGAATTTTAAGGCGTATATTCTTCCCACTATGAATAAAAAGAAGAAGTCTCGGGTGAGAAGTAGAAACAATAAAAAGAGAAACAAATGAAAATAAAATATTTGCAATAAAATATTTACTGGATGCACTGAATGGTAAAAAGGAGATGAAAAAGGGGGTGAACTTGAAGATAGAGCAATATAAATTATACAATATAAAGAGGGAAAAATTTTAATGAACAGAACCTCAGGGATATATTCGATTATATCAAACAATTTAACAGTTATGTACATACAATAAAGAGGTAAAGTAGAAGGTGAGTAGAGCAGAAAAACCATTGAAGAAATCATGGCTTAAAAATTCCCATATTTGATGAAAGACAGAAACTTACAGTTATAAGATGGTCAATGAACATTAATCAGAATAATTGCAGAGAAGCTCACACTGAGGTACATTGTAGCCAAATCTTTAAAAGCCAAGGATAAAAAAGTACATTTTAAAATCAGCAAGAGAAAAATGACATACTACATAGGTGGTAATGTCAATCTGATTAACATCACACTTCTACTCAGAAACCATGGCAAGAGTAGAAATTCTTAAAGTTCTGAAAGAAAGTAACTGTCAACCCAGAATCATACGTCCATCAAAAATACCCTTTGAGAATAAAGGTGAATAAGATCTTTTTATTGGAAAAAAGAAAGCTTAGACATTTCACTACCAGTGGACCTGCACTATAAGAAATGATAAAGAGAATTCTGTCTGAAGGGAAATGATACTGGAGAGAAACCGGGATTCTCAGATAAGGGTGAAGAATATCAGAAACAGTAAGTATCTGTGTAGATACAAAAAAACTAGTTTTTATCTTTTTGCTTTTTATTCTTAATTTCTTTATAAACCATATAATTATTTAAAGCAGAAATCACAACATTCTCATAGAGTTTATAATGTATATAAATGTAACATAAAAGATGGGGGTAAAAGAATATAAACCTATATGGTTGCAAGATTTCTGTATTTTACCTGATGTGTACAATAATAACTAATTAGACTAAAAAGTTTAAGATATATATTTTAATCACTAGGGCAATTACTAAAAAATAATGCCAAGGAATACCACTAAAAAGCCAATAGGAAAATTAAAATGTACTTTAAAAAGTATCCAGAAAACCTAAAGGCAGGAAAGTAGGAACAAAGGAAACAAAACAGATGGGAAAAGTAAAAATCAAAACCCAACTATAGCAATAATTACAATAAATTTTGATGGACTAAACATTCCACTTAAAAGACAGATTGTCACCGTGTATTTTTTAAAACAGAAAAAAAAAGCAACTACATGTAAGTCACAGACAGACCCAACTATATAGGCTAAAAGTAAATATATAGAAAAAATATTCCATTTAAATAATAAATAAATAATAAACAATTATGGTTCTATCAGTACAGGATAAAACAGGTTTTAGGGAAAATGTATGAGATATAAAGAGGAGGTAATTCATAAAGATACAAGTTAAATTCACCAGGAAGACATAATAATCAAAAATGTTTATGTGCCTAACAAAATACATAATGTAAAAAGTGACAGAACTAAAGAGAGACATAAACAATTCCAAAATCAGAGCTGGAGGTTTTAATATCTCTTTCTCAGCATTTGCTAGAACAATTAGACAATGATCAGTGAAGACATATAAAATCTGTGTAATATTATACTTTAACTTAATTGATATTTATAGGATACTATAACCACAATAACAGAACACATATTCTTTTCAAGTGTACCTAGTATGTTTTCAGGTTAGACTATATACTAGCCATAAAACAATTGTCATTAACTTAAAATAACTGAAATCATACAGAGTATGTTCTCTGACCATAAAGGAATTAAATTATAAATCAGTAACAATAAGATAACAAGAGAAACAATATACATTTGGAAATTAAATAACCAATTTACAAATCATAGATCAAAGAAGAAGTCACAGGTTAATTAGAACAAAAATTATGATAAAATATAATAAAATTGAACTGAATTATCATAAAAATACAATTTATATAAATTTCTGGAATGTTGCTAAAGGAATTCTTAGAGATAAATTTAGTTTCTTTTAGAAAAAAAGAAAAACTTTAAACCAATAATCTGAGTTCTTACCTTAAGAAAATAGAAAAATCCTATTAAATTAAACCCAAAGCAAAGAGAAGGAAATAATAAAGAGCAAAACTCAAAAAAGGAAAACCAAAAAAATAAAGAAAATCAATGAACTGGAAGCTAGTTTAATAAAATTTATAACTATCTAGCTGAAGAGAGAGATTGAGGGAGAATAAGGTAGAGAGCGAACACAAATTACAGATATCAGGAATAAAAGGAATAAAAGAAGGAATAACATTACAAATCCCATACAGATTAAAATAGTAAAAAATGGAATATCATGAATAAAATGACTGATAATACCAAATGTTGGTGACAATGTAAAGAAACTGGAACCTTCGTATATTTCTGGTAGGAATGCAAAATAGTGCTACCATTTTAGAAAACTATGGCATTATCTTATAAAATTAAACATGAACCTAGTACCAAGCAATGCTACTCCTAGGTATTTACCCAAGAGAAATGAAAACTATGTCCACACAGACTTTTATGTGAATGTTCGCAACATTATCCATAATAGTCTAAAACTGGAAATGACACAAGTACCCATTAACTAGTAAACAGATCAATTAGTTGTATTACATCCATTCTGTGGAATTGTACTCAATGACTAAAATGGAAAAAATTAATACATGAAACAACATGAATGAACTTCGAAAAAATTGTGTTAAGTGAAAGAAATCAAACATACAAAAAATTTACATACTTCCCTAAAAGGTATAACCACAGTGTCAAAAAAGATCAGAGTTTTCTGGATAGCGATCAGGGGAGGAGCTCAACTGCAAAGGGGTATGAGAAAAAATTTTAAGATAATGGAATCATTCTATATTTTTATCATGGTGGTTAAAATGACTGTATATGATTACCAGCATTCATTAACCTGTATAATTAAAATAGGTGAGTTTGATTGCATATAAATTATACCTCAATAAAGACTGGAACAAAAAAAGAGTTCCTTTAAATCAACTAGTCTCAGACCATCAGTAATTAGATACAACCTTAAACAATATTTTGTCCAACTCCCCTGTTATGGGATGAATTTTATCTCCTCCAAAGAGATTACATATAATCACATATGTAATTCCTACATATGTGATTATTACCTTATTTGGAAACAGAATCTTCACACAGATAAACAGTTAAAATGAGGTCATTATGGTTGGCTTAATCCAATATGACTGGTGTTTTTATAAAAAAAGAGAAATCTGGACACAGAGATAGACACGCACAGACAGAAAACAATGCGAAGACACACAGGGAGAAGTTACTCATGTGACTGGAGTGATGCATCTACAGGCCAAGGGAAGTTTGAGGCTACCAGAACAGAGGCATGGAACAGTACCTACCCAGTGCCCCAGAGAGAGCGTGGCCCGGGCAACACCTTGATTTTGGACTTCTGGCCTCCAGAACTGTGAGATGACAAGTTTCTGTTGTTTAAGCCACTCAGTTTGTGGTGCTTTGTTTCAACAACCCCAGGAACCAATACAACCCCATTTGATACTAACCATGTTGACCACAGTAATTATCACCGGTATGTCCAGTTTCCCAAAGAATCTCTCTGAGATGAGAATAACACCCCCCAAATGGTCAAATATATATATATTTACATGCGTGTGTGTGTGTGTGTGTGTGTGTGTGTGTGTGTGTGTGTGTGTATTTCCCAAAGAAGCAATTTTTTTCCTTCTAAGTTGGCTAGTAAATGCTGACTCCTTTTTGGTGTCATTAGGCCAGGGTAAAGTCACCTATAAGTAATTTTTGAAGCCTCCTCTTCCTCAGAAACATTTTATACACATAAAACAGACCATCTAAACTGAACCCATTTACATTATTAAGTTGCACATACTCCTAGTCTTTCACTTTAAACACTCAACATAGGCTGGTAGGAAACCCAGGAATGGGTGCCCATAGTGTTCTCAGTTTCACAAATCAGCATGGCAGTGTCATTGAAGACACACCTGACTGTAAATGAAATGCGAATAGGTCCACTTCCTCACTGGCTGCTGCCAGCCTTCCAGGCAAAGTTACTAAACGAAATTGTAAGAAATCACCAATTTTACTGAATTCCCTTGAAGTTAAGACTTTGAAAACAATTTTGGATTGGTGAACATATAAAGTCCTCTCCACATTTAGAAATGTTGCTTTCAGTTTACCATGAGAGGCTTCTTTTGCTCTCTCTTTCTCCTCCAACTTCCTCCCTGCTCTGCAGATTATATTCATTCATTACCATTAACATTGAACATTTAGCAGCCACTCAATATAGAAGTAGCACACATAGTCAACCTACCTCTTGCGATGAAGGCAGGGCCCCCTCACAGGTGACACAGTATTTCAGGTGAGCAGGATTCCCTGTGCCACAGGTACGGCAGATTACTTTCTTCTTGAAAACAGAGAATAAAAAATGCATGTTCCTATGAGCAAAGAACTGTATAAAAATCATCAAGTAGTATTTTCAGTCAATCAGCCAGCTATAGACACTATTTCAACGACCAAACTCTGAAATTAGATTGATTTAGGAATTATTACAACATAAAGTATCAGAAGAATGAACATAATTTTAAAAGAAACAAAATGCCAAATGAATAATCTGAAAAAAGTATTCATTTGGCCTTTGGAAGGCAAATTGAATATTTTGCACTGATTACGTATGAGTTACTATTTTTTTAAATGTGAAAAATGTGATAGTAGACTCTCTATCTCTTGGCTTGAACAATGAACAGAAAGGCCTAAGGCCAGCAAAAGCTTATCTATGTGTTTACAAGTAATCTAGTTCTTGGACTGGGGTTTACCCCATGAGGCTTTATATTAAATACGAACTTAGGTTTGTTCTACAGTTTCTCACTTAAGAATGGCAAAGTAGAAAGACTGCCTGTGTTCTCCAGGTGTCCTGAAACTCATGTAGTGTATTTTAAAGCTGGTACAGATAAAGAATACAATCAAGAAAAAAAAAAAAAGCCCCTGAGGTTTTAGTTCCAATGCCACCAGGTAAGCCTGTGAAGCCTGGCCTTTCCAAATCTAGTTAGCTCCACTTCAACAGAAGACTCCAAGGTCTTCCTAGGAAGCTGAGTCAACTTAGGAAATCACAGTTCCCAATCCAGAGAACTCCTAGAGTGCAGATGCTGACTGCCTGCTTTTCAAAATGGCAGAGAATCATACACTTGTTCTCACTGGGTCCTGACACTTGCTGGTTGTAGCTTCAGAGTGACTCAAAGTTTCCACAGCATAATCTGCAATTGCCAAAGCTTTTCTGTGAGATTTAGGGTTGTGATCTTTCTGAAGATGTTACCTCAGAAATTATCTGGTGAAACCCACTGAGAAGTGAAACAAATTTCTTGTCCCTGTGTTAAAAAATACTGAGATCAAATAAAAAGAATCTAGCTAAACAGCTGCAGGAAATACTCTAGAAAGAAAAGATTGCAAACCAAGTAAGACTGCTTCCTTATTAGGTCCAACAGCTTACCCAAGACCCTCAACTTGCAAGGCCCACAATCCAAAATTAGTATGTCCCCACATAGTTATTGTGTGGTGTGTGTGTGTGTTCTGAGAGCACCTGAAATCTACTTTTAGCAAATTTCCAGTACAAAGATGGATATGTTAATTAGCTTGGCTGTAGTAATCATTTCACTATGTATATGTATATCAAAACATCATCACCTTAATATATAAAGTTTTTATTAAAATAAGTAAACAAAAAATTTTAAACCAGCATATCATAACTGCCCAATCCCAACCCTGCCTTGCAAAACTCTTTTTAAATTTTTTTTAATTAATAAACTTTATTTTGCAGAGCAATTTCAGGTTCCCATCAAGTCAGTAGAAATTATATGGGGAGTATATTGGACAGAGAGTTCCAATATACTCCCTGCCCCCACCACACACAACCTTCCCCACTGTTGATGCTCCACACCAATGTGGTACATTTGTTATAACCAGTGAACCTACATCAATACATTGTTATTATCCAAAGTCCAAAGTTTACATTAGGGTTTACTCTTGTCAAATTCTCTTTAAAATCACCCAAATGCAACACTAAAATCCTATGAATAGCTTTCCCTGTCTTCTTCCTTCTAAGATACTAAAGCAGTCATAGTGGTGGTTTATCTTACTGCATCAGGTTCAACCTTGGTCAACAGGTTTCTCTAGTGGTTTTTCTGATGGCTTCTTGACACCATGCCTTGGCTCACTTCCTTGAAGAGCAACAACCATGACCCAGAGATAGAAATAATTTCATATTACAATCACAATACTCACAGATTCATATATGTTCACAGGCATGATTTGGGACTGAGGCCACCATCAGACTGCCTTAATGAGGATGCTAAACATTTATGACAAGAGCTTCAAAAAAAAAAGTCACTACTCTCAACTGCCATCTCATCCACAGCATTTGCAATATATCTAGTTGACTGGTTCCAGACAATTTAGTGAACACAACTTAGTCCTGGTGTAAAATTTTTCCTTACAAAGTAGTTGGAAGATGAGAGCAATTTTCTAATCTCCCAAGTGATAAGCTTTAATTGACACAATGAAATGAAGAATGTTGGAAACAAATTAGCGAGTCATTAGGAACTTAGTTTCAAAGTTGATTTTGTAAGCTGCCAAACTACAGCTCTGCTTGAGGCAGATCTGTGATTACACTGGCTTTAGCCCAAATCATGTGCAGGAGGCTGGGGTCTCATAGGAAGTAACTGTGCCCCAGATGTTGAGTCATCAGATCTTTTTCAGAGTAATGGGTTCGAAAAGATCCCAGACCTAAGCCTCTCAGATTTGAGAAACCCCAAATATGGCTAGAGTCCTGGAGGTAATACCATAAGTGGCTAAAGTCCAAGGGAAACTGAAGATCTCTTACTAAAGGAAAATTTCTCTGTTCTGGTGACAAGGGGGATGCTAATATTAGTTTTCAACTTTAGATAATGGCCAATGGGATGCATTTGTTTAAAAATAAAACAAATCTAAACTTTATGAATATATATTAATATGTTTCTGTTCATCTAGAAAAATACATAGAAGGACACCTAATAAACTGCTATGATTAGTTATTTTGGAGGGGCAGGAGAAATAGAGGTGAGTGGGGAAATTATGTATGTCTTTATCTGTGGAACATTTTATTTGTTAAAAAATTTGGAAAATTTTTAAAAAGTGTAAAATCCTCTTATTTGGAAACATAGACACCTTTGCCAGAGGGTAAAAAGATATTTCTGCTACTGTATCTTCCCATCTTGGTAGGAAAAAAAAAATCTGATAAAGCAAAATTCATTGACAAGTATTGATGAGTATTCCTGGGAGAATGTTTTCTAAAAATCTGTCATCCTTGTAAGATCTGGGAAAGTCACTGGGATGAAGAATTTCAGCCCAAGTTTCCATAGAGGTGTTCTTTTGTGAGTAGAAGCAGCAATACTGATGCCTATCAAAATGAGGCATTTCTCTCCAGGATCAGATGTTATGGTGACAAAAGTCTCTAAAACTCAAGTGTGATTAAAACCTGTCCCTGCTTTCAATCCTTCAAAGCCCAATAGAAAAAATTTGAGCTGTGGACAGTAGAGAAGTCACCATTTCCCACAACCCACAGCTCCCCGACAATTCTGTAGCTCTGCAAAACCAAACTGCTTGCAAAGTTTTGAAGCACATCTTGCAGTTTTCAGTCTCTGTGCACCTTCCTGGAAAGTTCCTTTCTCCTCCACCTCACACACAACACATGCCCATGAGCCACTTCTCTTTGGCCCACCACCTTTCCATCTGGCAAACATTTGTGCCTATACAATTATCTCTTCAAAGCTATCCTTGGCCCTAGCCCCTGTTAAGAGTTAATGAATTCCTCCTCTGTACCACCCCGCCACCATGACCTTCACCTCCACCATGATGAGCAGAGGTACAGGTCACTGGTGCAGCACTGGGGCAGTAGGTCTAGGGTTCAGAGCCCAGAGAATGCAGTGTACAGAGCCCTAGAGAGTGATCCAGGAAGCAGCATGCTAGGAAATGTCACATCAAAAGGTACCTTTCAAAAAGCTCCTCAGTACCTAAGGTCTTGCACTGGAGGTGCAAGGTAGAGCCCAGAGAAATTTGGTGAACATGAAGGAATGTTCATGGCTGCACAATGGTGAGGGATGCCAGCTACCTAGGGCAATGCCCAAGTACCTGTGACTATAGAAGGCCTGCCTAGAGATCTCACTTCTTCCTCAGCTTTCTCTTCTCAATCTTTCTTCTTTAAGAGACCATAAAGTGGGAGTCTAGAAAATTTCTCAGGCTCACACTATTCCCTATGCCATCTTGGCACTTTTGAGAGTTTAGACTTCTTCCAATAAATTCTTAGGGTACAGAATATACTGTGTATATGGTTAAGTTTCCAACCAAAAAAAGAAGAGGTAGTATCAAAAGAAATAAAAATGTTTTGATAAAAGTCACACAATTAAGTGCTTCATTATTGATAGTATAAGATACACACTTGTTGAAGATATGTCTTTGTTAAGAGTGGTGGTAAATCATAACAATCCAATGCTAAAACAAACACAAGGGGAAAACATGGTGCCAATAGAAATGATCATGAGAGTCTCATTTCTGGAAAAAATGATAAAGGCAATACCCTAAATCATTATTTCCTATGATCTTGAGAAAATTAATGTTTCAGAGAGCCCTTTATGGAAGCTGTACCAATTCTAGGAATATTTAGCTAACATAAAGCTTGTTTATTCAGTAAATTCAAAATTCATAATTCCATTTGAAAACTCATCATCAAAAGTTAAACAGGATTGATTTTCTCAATTTCATCTTTGATTTCTTAGTTGGTTTCTTCATTATAAGGTATATTTCTGACTTTGGCCCATCAATAGAATAGAAATAAATTGCAAGTGATCATTTCTTGCTCATAAAAATTCTACTTTAAAAAGGGATTTAATGTTACTAATCACTAAAGAAGTCCTGTATTTATCCTCAATATGGATCCCCAATTAAGAAAACAATTAATTACGTATATCTTCTATCTCCCTGCCTTTCCATAAAATGGGAAGAACTCTGGAATTCAAATATTGAGGGTGGCGTGATATATAGCCTTGGGCTCACAGCCAACCCCTATTCTTCTTATTTTGAATAGTTCAAAGAGTTTGGATGATATAATCTTCAAACATTCTGGGTAAGTAATTAGTAAGAATAGGTTCTGCCGTGATTAACAAAACAGCCAAAATAACAGTAGCTTGAACAAGAGAGAAGTTGATTTCCCTGTCATGTGTAAGAAGTCTGCAGACAAGCTTCCAGGATTGTTTGGTGGCTTCCTGTGGTAACTTTTAAAGTTTCTTAAGATTGAAAATAGTCATCTAACAAAAACGTTAGTAAATTTGTATCTACCTGACTTTGGCCTGGCCAGTTCTTCAAAATCTTCATAGCCTGAGATACTTTGGAACCTTGCACAGTGAAGGAGAGCTTGGATGTGGAAGGAAAAGTGGACTTATCTTTTATAAAATTCAATGTGTTTGTCCATATAGAATCCACGTGGTCATTTTAGGAGTGTTATAGTTCTAATTTTACATTAAGCGCATGAATTTCCCTTCTTACTAAAAATTCTTGCTTTTTTAATCACCCAAATTCTCTATTAAATCTATTTTACTCTCTAGCGATCTGTACTTGAGATTAGAGAGAAGGTGAATGGGACTGTAGCTTGAAAAATGGAGAAAAGATACAGTTGTATGTTCAATAATTCTCTCCCCAAATTTTTCACAGTATATAATTTGTCTAGCAAATTTTCTGAATGTATGCAATGATACTTAACTTATTCATTCATGTGACTACTTCTAATCATTCTTTACTACATAATAGGAACCCATAATCAAATAAAGGAAATAAAAGCATGAAGCCACTTTAAGGACAAGATTAAAAGTCAATATTAATTGCAGTGATCAAATTTAAATATATAAAGAATTGTCTAAGTTAGCTATAGTGCAATTTGTCTTCCAAATCCATGGTCAGGACATTTCTATGTATTCCAGCTGGCAAGTTAAACTCTTGGTCAGCAGCCTTTCTAAAAATTAGAGTGGATTTGTTCACAGATATTAGCTCATCAGTTGTTAGCCAATTCCATTAGTTGAAGAAGACATTTAATTGTTTAAACATTACTTTCTACATATTTTATTCATGTTTTTATGAAATCACTTTTCATTACCTTCAAGCGGAGGCTGGCCTGTGGTTGCAACTGTAGAGCAAGAGCAGCCTCACATACCACACAGATAGGAGTGTTCATGGGCACCAAGCTTCCACATTCTACACATAAGCCTATCTGCACAAAGAAAGAAGTCAAGTTCACCTTGGGATGCAACAGCTTAAGGTATAAGTAGACCTTAGAATGTAAGGTTTAATTTGCTTTTGTAAACAAAATTACTTTTATTCTTATTTTTTCCTTTGAAGAGTAAAAACATGTTTATTGTAAAAAACAGATATGTAAAAAAGAAAAAGAAAAAGAAAAGAAAAAATATCTTCCAGCATGATGGAGGAAGTTGACAAATCCTCTCTCCAAATAGCAATTATAAAGTTGGATAAAACTGTCAAAAACCAATCATTTCAGACTCTGAAAGTCAACCAAAGATGGACAACAAACTGAGAAGTACTGAACTTCAAATAAGAACATTACAAATCTGTGTGGTTCTTATATGGGACCATTCCCATCCTCCTCTAGCTTTATCAGCATGGTACTCCACTAGGGAAAGGCAAGCTGTGAAAACTAGAAGCTTTGTGAGTGCTGACAAACAGGGCTCACTTGATCTGAAGCATTTCTAAGGTGACAATCTCAGTGGCTCCACTATCCTGAGACTGTGGCACTGTTTAAGGCAATCAATGGACCAGTAAGTAGCCCGAAATTTAACAGGGAGTTCCAGGAAGTCAGTCAACTATAGGAGGCTTAATAAGCTCTCCACATACCCTTAGCTTACTGGAGGCTATGTGCATGTATAGCGTAAACCAGAATGGTTCAAGCCACCCACACATCCCTGGCTGCACATGAAGATATAAGAAAGCTCAGCATAAAGTAAAAGCTGGGGCACCCTTGAAAACAACCTGAAGTTGAATGTCCTACCTAGCTCACACATAGGTCTATCAGCAGAGAATGAAAGCCTTACTGGTAAAGGTATTTGAGCACATCTTCTGGCCAATCTTTAGTCGAACACTAAGTAATGCAGACTCGAGGGTGATGCCAGGCTTACAAATAAAAAGTAAAAGAAAAAAAAAATGTCCCAATATTAGTGGCCAGAAATTGCAAGGGAGACAGTCATGAAAGATTTAATCCAAGTGAAAACAAAACGAAACAAAACAAAACAAAAAATAACACTAGGAGAAAAAGTCAAAATCAAGAGTATTTGCAATACATTACCTAAAATGCCTAAATTTTTAAAAATTTTGAGATATGAAAAAAAAAAACCAAGAAAGTATGACCCAAACTCAGGGAAAAAAAAAGTTAATAGAAATTGTTTTTGAGTATCCCCATATGTTAGACTTAGGAGGAAAAGATTTCAAAACAGCTATTACAAAAAAGTTCAAAGAACTAAAGGAAACCATGTTTGAAAAATTAAAGGAAGTTATGATAACAATGATCTGAAAAATAGGGAATCTCAATAAAGAGAATAGAAATTATTCTAAAAGAACCAAGTCAAAACCTGGAGTTGAAAAGTAAATTAATTAAAATGAAAAACAAATTACCAAAGGGATTCAACAGCAAATCAGAGATAGCAGGAGAAACAATCAGTGAGCTTAATTATAGTCCAACAGAAATTTCCCAATCTGAAGAATAGAAATAAAAGATTGAAGAAAACAGACCTCAAGACCTGTGGGACAACATCAAAAATACCAACATACATGTAATGGGAATCCCAGAAAGGGAGAAAGAAAAAGGGTCAGAAAAAGAATTTGAAACAATAATGGCCAAAATCCTCTCACATTTGCAGACAAATATTAATTTGCAGACCCAATAAACTCAATCATCCCCAAGAATGATAAACACAAAGAGATCCACACTGAGACACAGTATTGTCAAACTGTTAAATGTCAGAGACAAAAAAAAAAATCTTAAGAGTAGCAAGAGAAAAAACTATTTATCACATATATAAAAGCCATGGCAGCAGTAAAATAACATATTCAAAGAGCTGAAACTAAAAATAACTTACAAACAGGCATTTTATATCCAGTAAAACTATCCTTCAAAAGTGAAGGTAAAATAAACATTCTAAGATAAACAAAAACAGAGAGAAATAGCTAACAGGCATGCCTTTAGTAGAGGAAGTCCAGCAGACTACAAATAAGTCACACAAGATGATAACCTAAATTCACAATAAAGAAATGAAGAAACGAGAAACAATAATGGCCAAAAATCTCTTACATTTGCAGAAATAATAAGTATGGGGGTAAATACAAATGATTCCATAAACATTTTTTCTCATCTTGAAATGACATAAGATTGTTTAACACTGTACTTTCAGTTTATAACATATACAGATGTAATATATTTGACAATATATAAAAGATATAGAAATGGGGAGGAAAGGGAAATATATTATCGCAAAATTTCTGTATTTTGTTGGATTTAAATTAAGTTATTCTGACATAAACTGTGAGAAATTAAGGTGCATATTGTAATCCCTAGAGCACCTTTAGAAAATAATTTTTAAAATAGTAAAAACAACATAGAAATTAAAATGGCACACTAAAAATTATTTATTTAACACAAAAAAGGCAGCAAAGAATGGCCATAGAAACAGAAAAGACATGAGACAAATAGAAAATAAACAGCAAAATGGCATATGTAAATTCAACCATATCAATAATGACATTTAACGTGAATAGACTAAACACACTCAAAGGGCAAAGATGGACAGACTGGATAAAAAACATAACCAAACTATATGCCGCCTACTAGAGATATGCTCTAGATTCAAAAATACAAATAGGTTGAAAGTAAAATACAGCAAAAGATATGTAATGCAAATAGCAACCATAAGAAATAGCAGGAAAAAAGGGACTTTAAAACAAGAAATATCTCTAGAGACAAAGAGGCATCTTGTGATGATAAAACGGTTAATAAATCAGAAAGATACAGCAATTATAAATTTATATGAACATAACAACAAATATCCAGAATACATGAAGCAAAAACTATGAGTCACACTTCAAGTAAGACTCCATCTATCACCTGATCACTCTAAGCCCCAGTTTTTACTGGTGGACCATAGTGGTATTTTGGATCTTCAAAAATTAGCATCAGTTCAGAGCCAGTATCTAGTAATCCCCCAAAGGTTTGGGCATTTCCTTTTTGCCAGTGCATAGTCACTCTAGTGATGGCAACAAGTCCCTTTGCAAAGGCTTCGAGAAAGATTTATGATATGTACTTGCAATGTCACAGTGTGCATCTATCTGTCCCTCTACTTGCTGGGTCCATACTAAAGGAGATTTGGTCTCCTTCAATTAAGGTGCTCTGGGTTTGTGAATTGACTTAGGTCTGGAAACTGGGTAACAGACTGGATGTTCCACTGTGTGACTCAAGTCTGGTTTTTGACTATAAGACCTAGTGATGTTTTAAAAAGTATTATTATATAGACCAAGCAAGAAATACACTGATTTCATTCCTAGGAACAACATGATCAGATTCTGATTACTGATATGTCACTGCTATCCTGTACAGTAGATGTGCCCATCTTGTCTTTGGCAGTTAAGTGCTGCTACTTGACCTCTGCTACTCTGGAATCCTATTGGCCCCAGTGAAATCAGGGGGCCCATCTCAATGGCAGCATCCCCTCCATGATTATGTCTGGCCTACATGGGAAAGCAGACACAGAACTTTTCAAGGATACAGGTGCTCCTTTCACTAATTAATCCCTGAATACCTTAGTGATGGATGTATCCTCTGGGCCTTCTTGTGAAATTTAGGTCAGATTTGGGGAGTACAGGGCACACATGATAAAGCTACTCTAACATTCCTATCTTCCTTCACATAATGCTAGGGAAGTTCTCATATCTCAGTCTCACTAAACACAGGCCACTATTGGGTCCAAGTTTTAGTCAGCCAACCAAAAAAGCAGTTAGAGCCACCTCCAGCTGCATCCGCTAACACATTAAATCCAGACTCTATGGATAGTGCACGCATATCAATGAATTTGGCCCAATTTAATGTTATAATCTGCCCTCATTTAAAATCCACTTCTCCAACCTGTTCATCAAGATTCTGCCAATATATGTTAGCAAAATTGTGTTCTTTTCACGTGTAAGCTATTTTCTCTTGGGTCACAGTGTGCATCTATCTATTCCCTCTACAGCATGGTAGAAATACCAAAGGGTACACGTGGTGGGTCTTGAGGAGAATAAGCATCCCCTTTCAAGGTATCAGCCCCAGGTGACGTTATCACAGAGCTTTCAAGCAAAAGAAGGCCAATATCCTCAGATAGGAGGGCAAGCTACATCCACTGGTAAGGAGGCTCAAAGTGACTTAAGGGTTCAAGATTATCGGTTTTATCTGGGTCCAACCTGAGATCTCCATTCCAAGTTTCAGAATCTCATTCCTTCCTACTTTATGTCCTATCACATAAGAAACTTGGTGATAGCATGAATTCAGCTGATGTTATAGTTCACCAACATATAAACTTAAATATTCAGGTCAGCAGTATAATGCTGGAACTATAAGAATAGGTTATTTTGTGGCAGTCATGGGAGCTCCCTGGCTCTCAGACTAAGATCTAAAGGTCCTGTGCTTATTGGTTTCTGTGAATGCTCCCATGTACCAAAGAGGATCCATCCCACACCATAGTCCTTGAAGTCATCATTGCTGTTATAACAGTCAAGGGCAGCAGCTACCCAACTACTCAAGATTCTTGCTTCAGCTGGCACTTCATCACTATCAGCCACATGTGATAGCTTGATTAGTTGTGATGCCACTTCAGGCTATGGATTACTAGCATCTCGTTTCCCATTGACAAGGAGCTCAGCACTGTTCTCTAGCAAAGAAAAGGATCAAATCACTTCCAAAACCTTATCTTTGCAGGTCTATTTCCTAGGGCTACTCTTGGTACCAATTCTGTATAAGTAAGAGTCCAGACAGGAGACAGAAACCACAAAGTATTTCAACAGGGAAAGTTTAATATAAATAATTAGTAACTAGAAACAGAGGATTAACTACCAATGAATAAAGCAAGCTCTAAAGAATACAGGAATATCCAATAGGGAGCAGTCACTACCTTTATGGCTGAGGCAGAGAACTCAAAGAGGGTCAAATTTAGAAGAGGCATTTACTAAAGTGGCATCACCCACTGGACAGTCGGGTTCACTGAGGTGACACACAACAGAGCTGTCAAGTAAAAACTGCCCACTGGGGTCATATGAAAATTATTAGGGATCTCTCTCTCGGGGAAGCTGGTAGAATATGCTGGGAAGCCACATGCTGGAATTTGCTGGGAAACTGCCCAGTGGGATACCTGAGACTATCTGAGAAGCTGGCTAGGGTGCCAGTGGGACTCAACGGGAGCTGTTTATGGGATGCCACTGAAATTCACTGGGGTTCAGCACAACTAGGTGTCCTGTAGGTTAGCTGAGCACCATCAAAACAAAAAGAGAGAAAAGCATACCAGACCATGGAAAGATGGCAAGCCCATTCTCCTACAGTGTCTTCCCACAACAATGTCCATCTACTGACAGAAATGAACATCAAGCCAGCTGGTGAAGGAAAAATGTTTAAGGTACCACAAGGCAGGGCAATGAAAGGTGGATCTGGAGTTGAGAGGCACACCTCTGCATCTCTCTAAGGAGACTGAGTGTCTTGGGTCCAGGATCCTGGGAGCAGTATCTACCCTTTTGAATCTCAGAAACTCAGCTCAGTGTAGAACACAATAAGAGCTCAGTAAATAATTTAAATTATAAAGCTGTTTACATATTATAGCATATTAATAAGTATAATTTGGGGGGCAGTATAAATGTTTCAAAGTTCATCATTTTAAATATTTATAATCTCTGATAATCCTTTCTGCCTGTGAAAACAAAGTTCTGAAAGTCTGTTTTCAGGCCAGTAAAAATAATTTTGATATTGTACCAGTGAATATAAAAAGGAAAAATTCAAACCAGTGGAACCGGTTCATATTTTATTTGCTGTATTATCTTTTTCAAGGAGTTCAAAATATATCATAGAAGTAAATTAAATAATAACATGCCCATTTAGAATCTGACCCCTTGCTTGAAGTCATAATTCAATTCTAAAACTCTGGACTTTGAACTCACTGAATTAGTGACTTTTTCTTAGTGACTGTCTTTTTTGTATGGTCATTTTCCACTCAACTTCACAGATCCTTTTATTTCATTTTGTAAACCCTAGTTAAAAAAATATATATATATCAAGTGCATAAGAGATGAACACATATTAGTGAAGGCTTTGATTTTCGGTAAGCCAAGTATGCTTTCTAACTAACTACAAACTTAATGGTAAGATAATATCAATTATTATCTATCTTAGCCAAAACTTTAAATTTAGATACACTGATCAGTCTATAGCCTATATAAACAGCTGCTTTGGACAGAATGATGTATCTTATGGATATACAGACTTGTAATTAGTATTTGTCATTTATTTCTAGAATATATTTCCTTACTGTGTCTAAGTTATGAACAGAAATATTATATGAGTAGCAAACATGTATTTATCCAAGCATGCATCATTACAACAATAAGATTTTAGTCTCTTTATGAGCCTGTGCTTCTACAAGGTCACACAAAAGAAATAGCAAATAAGTTTTTTTATTTCTAAATAGGAGTCTGGATAGTAAGAAATTAATCTGCTAGTAAGTTTTTGCAACACGTATTTATGTTTGTAGTTTGTGTATACCAAGTACTGTGCTATTGCTGCAAATAAAGAAGAGATAAACTAATTTTAAAAGATTTTAAGGATTCTGCTGCTCACCTGAGCTCCTTCTGGGGGTGGGAGACGATAGCCATATATGGGTGGGACAGGTGAGCCACATTCTTGACAGAAGCGAGCAAAGGGATCAGATGGACGGGTGGCAAGGCAGTGGGCACACCTACAACAAAAGAGGTTCCTGATTGGCCATGTTCTGATGGATTTACATTAAAAAGTCAGGTGAATATCTAAAAGTGTTCAAACTTTTTTTTTTTTAGATTCTCTTGATTTTTTTTTAATTAAATTTATTGGGGGTAACGTTGGTTAATACAATCATATAATTTTCAGGTGTACATTATCATTTAACATCTATATATTCTATTGTGTGTTTACCACCCAAAGTCCAGTTTCCTTCAGCTACCATATATTTGATTCCCTTTACCCATTTCACCCTCCCCCTCACCCCTATATTTGACCCCCTTTATCCTGTCTACCTCTCAAATAAAATAACCAAAAGAAGAATACTCTCAAAGGCTATGGAACAATATCAAGATAGAAGATGCCTCTCTAGTCATTTTATCACAAAGTGGCCTCATGGCTGGAACCAATGGTGCCCTTCACCTGTAGGCTAGGCCTATCTCACTTCTTGACTGCAGCCAAAGTTCATCAATAGCTTTGATCCCACTTCTTAGTAGGGCTCTGGCTCATTCTATCACATTGGATTTGACATGTGAGAGTGAACCTTGGGAATTACAGTAATGTCTGCATTGCATTTTCCTGACTTCCTACCTGAGCTTTTGTGACCAGTCTGTGTGACACTCTGGAGGGTCACTGTCAGGCAGGCCCTGTCTTTGCCTTCACTCACCTGGGTAGAGTCCCAAGGCTTTGCCCCAGCAATATCCGACCTAATTTCTTAGGCAACTGGATTCCATCAATTAGTCCTCACCCATCTACCTGGTTCTGGATATCAGCCAAGTGAAAGCATTGACAAAATTCAACATCTTTTCATGATTAATAAAAAATTCCATAAACTAGGAACAAGAGGAAACATCCTCAACCTGATAAAGACCACATCATACTCAATGGTAACATCATACTCAATGGTAAAAGACTGAAAGCTTTTCCCCTAAGATCAAGACTAATACAAGGATAGCAATATAGTATTGGAAGTTCTAGCCAGAGCAATTAGGCAAGAAAAGAGATAAAAGGAAGAAGTTAAGTTATCTCTGTTCACCAATATGATGATCTTATATGTAGAAAATCTGAGAGAATATACATAGGTAAACTGTTAGAGCTAATAAATGAATTCAGCAAAGTGGTAGAGTAAAAAAAAAAAACACAAAAATGTGACATATTCCTATGAACAATTCCATTTATAATAGCATCAGAAAAAATAACATACATTGGAATAAATTTAACCAAGAAGTTAAAGACTTGTACAATAAAAACTACAGAATTTCTCTGAAAGAAATTAAAGAAGACATAAATAAAAGACATCCTGTGTTCATGAATCAGAAGACTTAATACTGTTAAGATGAAAATACTACCCAAAGCATTTTAAAGATTCAATGCAATCCCTATTAAACTCCCAATGATTTTTTTTGCAAAAAGAAAAACTCATCCTAAATTCATATGGAATCTCAAGGAACCTTGAATAGTCAAAACAGTCTTTAAAAATAACAACAACATTGGAGGATTCATACTTCCTGATTTCAAAATTTGCTGCAAAACTAATAAAAGCAGTGTTGTTCTAGCATAAGGACAGACATAAAGACAATTAGAATAGAATAGAGAGCCTAGAAATAAACCTTTGCAATTATGGCCAAATGATTTTTGACAAGGGTGCCAACATCATTCAATGGGGAAAGGACCCTCTTTCCAACACGGGTACTGGGAAAACTGGATATCCATGTGCAAAAACATGAAGTTGGAATCTTATATTACAACATATACAAAAGTTAACTCAAAATGGTCAAAGGCATAAATATAAGAGATAAATCTATAAATCTCTTAGAAGAACACATAAAGGACAAGCTTCATGACATTGGATATGGCAACAGCCTCATGGATATGATACCAAAAGCATAGGCAAGAAAAGAAAAAATAGATAAATGACCATCAAGAGTTAAAACTCTGCATATCAAAAGATACTATCATGGGAGTGAAAAGACAATCTACAAATGGGAGAAAATATTTCCAAATCGTATATCTGATAAGGGATTAATTTCCAGAATATATAAAGAACTCCTATAATTCAACAACAAAAACAAACAACCCATTTAAAAAATTGACAAAAGACCTGAATAGACATTTCTCCAAAGAAGACATACAAATGGCCAAGAAGTACATTGAAATCAAAATCACAGTAAGATGCTACTTATACTCATTAGGATGGCTATCATCAGAAAAATAGAAAATATGTATTGGCAAGGATGTGGAAAAATTAAAACTCTTGTGCATTTCTGGTGAAATGTAAAATGATGTAGCTGCTATAAAAACAGTTCAGCAGTTCCTCACAAAGCTAGACATATACCATATAATTCAGAAATTCTACTCTTAGGTCAATATACAAATGAATTGAAGGCAGGGACTCAAAACAGATAATTGTACACCAATGTTCATAACAGCATTATTCACAATAGTCAAAAGGTGGAAACAACTCAAATATCCATCAACAGATAAATGAATAAACAAGATGTGGTATATATATACAATGGACTATTACTTATCTTTAATAAAGAATATAATTCTGATACATGCTAAAATATTAATGAACCTTGAAAATACTATGCTAAGTGAAATAAATCAGTCACATAATTACAAGTATTATCTGATTCCACTTATATGAGGTAATTAGAATAGGCAAATTCATAGAAACAGAAAGTAGAATAGAGGTTATCAGGGGCTGCAGAGGATAATGGGGAGTTATTGTTTAAGGGGAACCATCATTCTATTTAGAATGATGAAAAAGTTCTAGAAATAAATAGTGGTGATGGTTGTACAACATTGTGAATGTACTTAATGATACTAAATCTTACACTTAAAATGGTTAAAATGATAAATTTTACTTATGCATATTTTACCACAATAAAAAAGGTATAAAGGATCTAAAAAATAATTGATTATATGAAATAAAAGTAATAATGTATTGTGGGGTTCATAATATTTGTAAAAGTAAAATATATGACCACAGACCATAGTGGCGCAAAGGCTATTGGTATTCAGTTACTGGAAATATCTGTCATAAGGTTCCTGTGCTGTATATGAAGTAGTACAATACCACTTGAAGATAAACTGTGATAAGTTAAAAAGGTATGTATATTACAAACCCTAGAGCAACTACTAAAAAGTTATAGCTAATAAACCAACAAAAAAAGATAAAATACAATCATAAAACATACCCAATTACTCCAAAAGAAGGCAGAAAATAAAAGGCAACAAAGCATAGGTATGACAAACAAAACAAATTCATGATGGCTGATTTAAATTCAAACATATCAATAATCAGAATAAATATAAATACTCAATACATCTAGTAAAATGCAGAGATTGTCAGATATGATTTTTAACAAAACAAAACCTAACTACATGCTGTTTTTTAAAAACTAAATTTATAAGGAGATACAAATAGGTTAAAAGCAAAAGGACTAAAGATATATCATGCAAACACTAATCTTAAGGAGTGACTATATTAATAGCAGACAAAATAGATTTCTGACCAAAGAATATTACCAGGGTTAAACAAGGTTATTTTATAAGGATAAAAGGGTCAATTCAGCAAGAGGACATAAAAATCCAACAGATTTATCACTTAATAATAGAACTTTAAGTACATGAAACAAAAACTAATAGAAATGTAATAAGTAGACAAATTCACAATTATAATCATAGATTTCAATATAACTTTCTCAATTGATGAAACAACAGACAGAAAATCAATAAAGATAGAGATCTTTTAAATACTCTCAACCAATTTAATCTAATTGACATTTATAGAACACTCATCCTAGCAAAATAAATTATTTTCAAATGCACATGAAACATTTACCAATCAGATCATACAATATATGTTCTCTGACCAAATACGAATTAAATTTTAAATAAGCATCAGAAAATAGAAGGAAAGTCCCCAAATATTGGAAAATTTAACATAATACTTCTAAATAACCCATGGGTCAAAAAGAACAAGGATAGTTAGAAACAGTTTAAAATGAATTAAAATTAAAACAAAATGTATCAAATTTGGGGGCTTCAACTAAAGCAGTACTCAGGAGGAAATGCCTATAGTAGAAAAGAAGAAAGGCTACAATGAGATGGCTTCATCTTCCACATTAAAGAATTTAGAAAAAGAATCTCAAATGAAACTCAAGTTTCATGCAAAAAGAAATAGATAAGCCTAAATAGACATATCTATTAAAGAAACTGAATGTATTTTTAAAACCATCCTTAAAAGAAAACTCTGAACCCCAGTGAATACTACCAAACATGTAAGAAAGAAATAATACCAATTCTACATAAACTTTCAGAAAATAGAATAAGGCAAAATACTTTCCAACTCATTTTATGAAACCAGAATTATCTTGATACTAAAACCAGACAAAGACATGATAAGACAAAAAAATTATACAGCAATACCTCAAGAAAATTCTGCAGCTAATATCATCTTTAATATCAAGAATAGAAATAGAATACTTCCTCCTTCAGAACAGGAATAAGGCAAGGAGGTCTGCTCTTACCATGTCTATTACAAATTTACTGGAGGTTCTAGCCAATATAATAGGTCAAGAAAAAAAAAAAGGGCTCTATATAGGAAATGGAGTAAAACAACTGTCTATCAAAAGAGCTGAAAGAATAGTGGATTTTGTAAGATTCCAGGATATATTGTCATAGCTCAAAAATCAATTGTATTTTATATTCTAGCAATAAATAATCATAAATTTAAATTTTAAAAGCAGTACCATTTATAATAGCATCAAAAAATGTGAAATACTTAGGGATAGATTTGACATAAGGTATGTAAAGCCTGTGCACTGAAAACTACACACTGCTGAAAGACATTAAGGAAGAACTAAATAATGATGAGATATACCATTTTCCTAGACTCTAAAGATTCAAAATTGTTATGTCAATTTTCCTTAAATATATAAGTTTAATGCAACCCAAATCAAAATTCTAGCAGACATTTTATAGATGTTGACAAGCCAATTTTAAAATTTATTTGAAAAGGGAAAGGACCTAAAAGAGCCATAACAGTTGTAAGTTAAGAACAAAGCTGGAGAATTTACAATACTTGGTTTTGAGATCTATTATAAAGCTATATAGTAATCAAGGCAATGTGGTAGTAAATAAATATAGACAATCATCAATGGACCAGATTATAGAGTCCAGAAACAGATTCACATACAAATATCATCAATTGCTTTTAAATATTCCAAATGTAATCAATGGGGAAAGGATCATCTTTTCTGGATTAAACGGATATTCTTATGCAAAAACATGAACCTGAACCCTTACCTCACACCACATATGAAATCAACCAAATATGGATCGTAGACCGAAATGTAAGGGATAAAACTTTGAGAAGAAAACATAGAAGAAAATCTTAGTGAATGGGATATGTCTTAGGTTTAGGAAAGATTTTTTAAATATGTCAAAATAAGTAGGAAATATAAAAGAAAAATAAATACATTAGATCTCATCAAAAGTAAATACTTTAGCTCTTTAGAAAAAAAAATTTCATAAGAAAATAAAAAGCCAAGGACTGGGAGAACATGTTTGCAAGGCATATATCTAATAAAATAAAACACGTATAATTCTATAATGAGAAGATACAAAATCCAATTTTTAAAAAGGATAAAAATTTTGAACAGGCACTTTCCCATAGAAGATGTATGAACAGCAAATAAGCACATTAAAAGATGTTCAAAAACATTAGCCACTAGAAAAATGCAAATTAAAACCATCCTACTAGAATGGACAAAAACAAAAAATAAAAGTGTCAGTTAGGATGTAGAGGAACTGTAACTCTCATACATTGCTGGTGGGAATGTAAAATGGTACACTCTTTTAAAAAACAGTTTGACAGGTTTTTTTTTTTTACTAGTTTCAAGTATATAGTACATTGGTTAGACATTTATATAGTTTATAAAACGATCCCCCAATTGCTCTTTCTCTCCTCTGGCTCTCTTCCTAGCCAATATTTTAATGCTAACTACATTCCCTATGCTGTGCTCCCCACCCCTGTGACCATCTATCAACTACGAATTTGTACTTCTTTAACCCTTCACTCCATTTTCCCAGCCCCCTAATCCCCTTCCCCTATCCTCCATCCGTCACCAGATGGTCCTCTATATTTTGAGTCTGTTTTTGATTAGTTTGTTCTTTTTGTTCCTTAGATTCCACATATAAGTGAAATCATATGGTGTTTATCTTTGACTTATTTCACTCAGCATAATAACATCTAGGTGACAGTTTTTTTTTTTTTAAGTTAAACAATGACCCTGTCATTCCACTGCTAGGTATTTACCTCAGTGAAATGAAAGTATCTGTGTACAGGATGACTTGTGTACAAATGTTCACAGCAGCTTTATCTGTATCAGCCAAAAACTGGAAACAACCCTGATGTCCATCAATAGGTAACTGGATAGACAAATTGTGATATATTCATACAATGGAATGCTATTCAGCAATAAAAAGAAATAAATGTTTGATACATGCAAGAACATGAGCAAATCTCAAAATAATTAGGCTAAGTGAAAGATGCCTGGCAAAAAAAAAGAGTATATCCTAAATCATTCCATTTACATATGGAATCAAATTCAAACTAAGCTATAGTGACAAGAAGCTGATCAATAGTTGCCTTGGGATAAGGAGGTATACAAGTGAAGAATTTCAAAAGGGTACAATGTCGGAAACTTTGGGAAATGATAGATTTGCTCATTTTCTTGACTGTGATCATAGTTTCAAGGTTATATACATATGTCAGTTTAACTCATTAAATAAGTATAGTTTATTATATGCCAATTATTTCTTTAAAATCTGTAAAAACTTAATTAAAAAAGTTTGTAGTGGGCAAACACCATTATTATATCCCATCGTTAAATGCTTTTTGACCACAATGTGTCTTAGGAGGATTTAAGAAATAATGAAGAGAATGAGATACTTACTTGAGAAAGTCTGTCTCTCTTTGAATTCTCATAATCTCTGTGCTTGTCAAATTCTTCTGGCCAGCTATGTGTGCAAAGCTAGGGAACTAAAATTAAGAATATAAGAGAATCCTGGTAAAAGCTGTCATACAATAAAATTTCATTAACAAGTCATTTTAATGTTTGTCTTATATCCAGCATTCATCCTTTAAAAACCATGATGGGAGCTGGGGGATGTCATAAGTAATGTTTACCTTAGTACCCAACAGTAAAAAATTAAGTGCAATCTATAATCAGATATGTGTATTTTATTAAATACACGAGTTTACAAGAAACAATATCTGAATTAACCAGCAGACAAACCAGATTTTAGAATTTAAAAACCTAAGTTAGCATCCATTTTTCTCAAAAATTATATCCCTAAGAAACTCAAAAGGACCCACCTAAAAGAACAAATGCAGCAACTGTCTCCTATTATACACATTTAACTCATTTTGACATATTTTTATTTGAGCATCCACTTTGTACCAGGCACTGTGTTTGATACAAAGAAGGGTCAAAAATAAATATTATAGTCCATGGCCTATTCTGGGACTGAGGTGGTTTGATGTGGTCTATTGGTCCAAATGGTAAAAGAATGAGACAGAAAGGTTGAAGAAAGAACGTGAAGGAGAAAAGCTAACACTGAAGAGTCTGCTAGTAATAAAATATGCCTGACATTGTGTAGCCATTATCCCCTTGACCTTTCACAATGACCTTATGAGGTAGGTAATTTTCAAAACATTTTCTTTTGATAATTTCAAATTTACAGAAAAATTGCAAGGGTTGTACAAATAACTCTTGTATAATAGGTCTGACCAATTGTTCACGTTACCATTTTGCCCCAAGTGTTTTCATTCTCTGTCTCTCACTGAATCATGGAGAATAACCTGCAATTATGATGCCATCTCTAAATAATTCAGCATGCATTTCCTACAAACAATGATGTCCTCTTACACAACAGTGCAATTATCAAAACCAGAAATGTCAATAGTGATATAATACTATTATTTAACCCATAGATCTTTATTCAGATTTTATTAATTGTGCCAATGATGTCACAGCTATATTTTTTTCTTGGTCTAGGATTCAGTCTAGTATCACACTTTGCATTTAGTTGTCATGTCTCTTTTAATCTGGAATAGGTCCTCAGTCTGTCTTTATCTTTCATGATGTCGAAATTTTGAAGAGTAACAGGTCAGTTAATTTGTAGAATCTCCTTGATTTGGTTTTGTTTCATGTTTCCTTGCGATTGGATTCAGTCATATATTTTGGTACAAATACCAGAGAAATAATATTGAGTCCATCTTAGTGTATCATATCAACAGATACTTACATTTCCCATTTTTGAGATGAAGAGGCTGAGGCTCAGAAAGTCTAAGTCACATGCTTGAGGTCACATCAACAGTATGAGTACAATCTCATGTACTCAGGCCTATCTGACCCCAGTAGCCTTCCTGTCTAAACAATGCCCGTGGGGTGGGCTTAAGACTCCAGACTACGCTGCAGGCAGTGGGGATCAGTCAAAGTTTTTTAGTTGCTTTTGTGTCAGATCCAACATGGCCTAGACCAGAAGTCGTAAAGTGGTGGCCTACTGGCCAAAATTGGCCTGCCACTGAGTTTTATTTGGCCCAGATATACAAATTTTGAAGTGACTGCTAAATTTTAAAATCAGGTTATAACACATAAAGATGCAGGTTTCTGGCTTCTGCTGTAAATTCCTCAGATGTGGCAACACTGAGCCTGCAGGCCCTCTTGTCAAAGGTTGGCTGGAGCTGAGTAGAGATTACCCCTTTAGCTGGCAGGGGCATTCCACCTGGCCAGAGAACCCCCAAATCTTATGCCCCAACACTAAAGCCAGGTGACACTGTCATTTACCTTCCACCCAGGCTGTCTCTCGCATTTACTCTGCTGCCTGGCCCTTGCTGGTGCCCCCAGACCAGATGCTTAGCTCAGAGACATCTTGTCTCCCTGATGGTTATCAAGATGTTGTAACACCTATCAGCATCATTAATTCTGATGTTTGCTGAAGTATGCTTCCAATGGGATTGGGCTGGAATCTTGAGAAGAATCTCTTAACAATATGGAAAAAAAATAGTGGAAGATAAAGTTTTGTGGTCCTTTTCTGGCCTCTTTGACCCTCTAAACTCCAGTCAAATTCCCCCAACTTGTCCCCATGTTCCCAGGTTTTTGGATTCTGAGTCTTGAAATCTTTACATATTGGTTTACTCTATCTTTTCCTTGGAAACAACAATTCTTAAATAACTAGGTATGTAAGGTCACCCAAATATCCCTAACAGAAAAAATAATTATTTCTAGATATATTAATTAAGGTCATGTGAGACTGCTTTTTTGAAAATTGTTATGACTGTGTTTAGTCATATACCATTCATTCTTCAAAATGATACTTTTTAAACCTCAGAAGCAGTATTCTTATTTGGGCGACACCAGCAAGCATTGCTCACAGAAATTGCGTGTGCTCATTAGTCTGCCTGGTAACCAGGTAATCATTTACTCCAGAAAACTGGGAAGGGCAATATTCTATTGTAGGAATGGTTGTCTTTTTGTTTAGTGGTGTTTACAGGAAGGTTTTTTTAGGTCTGCAGCCCTCTGGCCTGAGCTTTGTGGCCCTCCAGAAGATACAGTGGGTGGCAAATGTAAGAACCCAGGATGTCAGGCTGCGTTACACCACAGCATTAGAGATTGGAAGTGAAGAAAAAGGCCTGATATAGGGATAAGGAGGGTTGGTCTTCAAGGCCAGCGAGTCTCAGACTAGGCTGATCATCAAAGTCATCCATAGACTCCATCCAGGCTTATGGGATCAGATTATCTAGGAGGACTGCAGGAGGATTGTACTTGGGGTAGCTAGGAATATATATATATACGTGTGTGTGTGTGTGTGTGTGTGTGTGTGTGTGTGTGTGTGTGTGTGTTTAAATTCCTCCCAGATGGTTCTGATGTGCAACCAAGTTTGGGAACCATGATTTTGACCTTTATACTTGATAAGTGTGAGTAGCCTTGGAATTATGGGTACACAAGAAGCAGTTGTGGTTGGATAGAAAATGTGACTCCATGTATGCTCTACCTGGGGCTCAGACTGGAGGAAGATAAAAGGGCTTCTGGGTTGCCCTTAGATGCCAAAATCCTAAATTGGATTTTATAAACATTGAAAAATCAAATTGCTAACTTAATAATAAAAAAAGAAAAAGAAAAATCAAATTGCTATGATAGTAATAGTAGTAGGCAACTAGTATAAGGGCATTTTTCATATGTTATATAGTAAGAATGTATTGATATAGTTTTATTTGGGTCATAATCACCTCTATCTTGTCAAATCAAATGAGCAAGTCCCTGTCCTTGTCTAATTTGAATTCCAGTAACATTGACATAGATGACCACTGCCTTCTTCTGAAACCCTTTCCTCTCCTGGCTTCTATGACACCACATTTTTTTTGGTGGGGGTGGGGTGCTTTCTTCTTACCTCACAGGCTCTTCCTCCTCTGCTCAATCTCTAAGTCAAGAATTTTGTCTTGTGCCATCTTCTCTTTATTTTCTGTACACCCTTGACAAGGGATCTCATTCAGACCCAAGCTTTAAATACCATCTATATACTGAATATTTCTAAACATATATATCACCTGCCCTGACCTCTCCCTTGGGTTTGAACTTGCATGACCAACAGTCTATTTAACACCTCACTTGAACGTCTAATGAGCCCTTGAACACCTGTTCCTCCCTCATCTTCCCCATCTCAATTAATGGTACCATCACTTCCAGATGCTCAGGCCAGAATTCTGAGAGTCATCCTTAACTCTTCCCTTTCCCTCATCCATCCATGTGATCCCTCAGACCAACTTGTTGGCTCTATTTCCAAAACATGTCTAGATTCCCACTGCCTCCTATAATTACCACTTGTACAACCTTGGTACAAGCCACTGTCATTTTCTACTAGGAACAAAAACCTCCTAAATGATATTCTCTTATTCCTCTATAGCCTAATGTCCATACTGTGGCCAAAGAGAAAATTTTTAAAAGTATATGAGATCATATTCCCTTTACAATTAGAAGAAAATTCAAACTCCTTACAATAAGATTCACCCATAGCATCTGTGATTCTCAACCATGCCTGCCCATTAGAATTACTTATAGGTGAATTAAAATAAATGAATAAAATAATGCCCAAACCCCACACCAGACCAATTAAATCAGAATTTCTGACATTGGGTTTCTAGAACTGATTCCAAGTCCCTCCATGATTCTAATGTGCAGCCAAGTTTGAGAGCCATGGCTCTTCATGCTCTGGCCCCAGCCTACTTCCCCCACCTCATCTCCTACTTGCACACCACGTTCCAGCCACACTAACCTCCTTGAAATCCCTAACTTTGCTGTATCTGTTGTTACTGCTGCCAAGAGCTTTGCAGGGCTGGCTTTTGTTCACCTTAAAGGATCAATTCAAATGCCACCTTTTCAAGGAAGCCCTCTCTTATCACCCTGAATCAGAACACTGTTCTTCCTTCATTGTTTATCCCAGGGGTTCTCAAACTTGGGTGTGTATCAAAAAAAGGGACTAATTTAAACCGATTACTGGGCCCTCCTCCAGAGTTCCTAATTCAGTAAGTCTGGGGTAAGCCTGAAGATTTGTATTTCTAATGAGCTCCCATGTGATGTTGATGCTATTGGTCTGTAGAGTCTACACTTTGAGAATCACTGCTCTATTCCATTACCCAGTTTTATCTGTTTCATGACACTTAGGATGATTTAAAATTTTTGTCTGATTATTTATATATTGATTATCTGTCTACCCCCAACCCCAATAAAATGTAAGCTCCATGAGTACAGGGAAATTCCTTGTCCAACTCGGTATTTCCAGCTCTGAAACAGTGCCTGGCACATAGTGAAATAAGTGCCATATTTCATAATGCAGCTGGGAGACACTGCATTAAAGTATTTTATGGGAAACATTAAAAATACAGTAGGTATTTTTTGTACTCTAAAGATTTTCCTTTGAAGTTACCTGGGACTGGTGGGTGGGTGGTCTAGAACCTGATTCTTCACAGTAAGCTGGAATTTCCAGGGGACTCTCTGAGAAGCGAAGATCTTTCAGTGTTTTAGGTTTGGATCTTTCACCTACCTTGAGGTCTACAATTACATCAAAAACATTGTTCTGTGAACATCTGTAATTATATATGTAATCATATAAATACTTTTTAATAGCTGCAAACCTTTTAATAAGGGACCACTGTCATCATATTCTTTCTTTAATGTAGCAATTATATACAGAAGCTCCCACTCAGATGAATTAGCACTGAGAAAGAAAAAAATTAGCCTGGACAGAAAATTAAAATCTACCCTGTTACATTCCACAGCATTTCACATCAGGCTGGGGAAAATAGATAAATCAAACTGCAAGGTCATCAGGAAATATTATTTCTCCCTATGACACACTGCAGCAGTAAAATGTCATAACAGTATCCACCTCTCCCCTTTGAGTGACTATTCTTACTTGCTTAGAAACCTTTTTCTCTAAAATCAGATTTTCAGAAACTTTCCTGTTTGAAATCAAATCAGTTAAGAACAAAACATCTGACTCTTGCCTGAGGACTTAAGTCACTTTGATACAGAGAAGCAGACTCAACTTCCAACCCTGGTGCAGAGCTTTAGAGAAGGGTTTCTGGACGTCACATTTACTTTTGTAGTTTCTAAGGAAACAGAACCCTGGTTCCTTCCCCGTCCATACCTGATGGTGACCACTTCACACACAGCCCTGTTATGCTTAAAGCCTATCAAAACTCTCCTTTCATTTACATTTCACCCGAACTCCACCTTTCCTCTCAACCCTGTAACTGTGTCTTTTCCTTTGTATGGTGACAGGCAACATGAGTCCACGGGTGTGTGGTCTCCCTTGTTGCTATGAGTTGATAAAACCTGACTTTGTTGGACTGCTTAATTGGGTGGTCTTAAGCTAAGGTATTAGCTAAGTTAGGACTAAAACTCAAATTATAAGTTACTCTCCTGTTCCAGTATTTCTTATTTCTATCCCTCTGTAGACAAAAAAATAAGCAGTGAACTTGTCTGGGGGTTTAGAATACTAAATCATATCTTCATTCTCTCATGTCATACCTCGAAACTTTCTAAGGTTAATATTCCAATCCAGTTTATTTTCAGCATTTTTAGATTTCTTCCTTAGTTTTGATCCAACAAATCCATTTTTTACTTCCTAGAAATAAAGAGATTACAGGTCAATCACTTGATTATGCCCACTTAGAATGTGAACATTAAAAGCTACGTGATAGAGGCAGTGACATAGCATGTACTTGAAAGGACTGACAGTAGTTTCTACAAAGTGACCTCTATCTCACCTTACTCTGGAAACACATGGCTTTGTGTTGAGGCTTCTTGTTTGGCAGCATGTCTGGTTGGTAGGCCCCACCAGCTCAAGCAGCCAAAACAAGAGGCAGGTAGCACAACATGTAGGCAGGATGCTGCCATCATGCAAGTCTGAGTAGTAACAGAGGGACCACCAGATCCAGCGAGCGAAGACGGAGTGGAGTCAGACCAAGATAAAACTTATGTACACTACCTGCCCACATAGTCCTTAAATGCTCTTCTCTCTGGACTTTCTTCTTCATGGACTTGGTCCCTTATTAAGCCTGATTAGGCCTGAGTACTGCCTGATACATATAGGCTGTCTCTGCCTAGTGTAGATGCCTGCCCTCATCATACTTGAACCCCACACAATAACTGTACCCACTTTTCTAGTGCCACAGCCTCCTGTCTGGCTTCTGATCCATTGTTGGGTTGAAAGGACTCCCCAAAAACTTCCCCTTGTAACTCCCAACAAGACCTCCATGACTGAGACCTTTTCATTAACTGCTTTACAATGGGTTGGCCCATCCTCTGGCCTTTAGATCTATCTCACTGATACCCACAAATCCAGGGACTGAAGTTTCAAATGTCCTTTTTAGATAGGTCTAGTTCGCTCTCCAAAGGCATGAGGCTTTCCAGCTATTTGGAGATGAACATTTCAACATAATCGAGGGCTTCTACTAGTCTGGTGCATCTATTCAACAAATATACACTCACTGCCCTCTCCTACCTGCCGCTGTGCAAGGAACTGAGTATAGCAGACATACTCTTTGCCATTTTGGAGCTTACTAGTGCAAGGGGAAGATAGACAAGGAGAAAAGTAATCACATATTCAAAGCATTTTATAAAAGGAGAAGGCCTGGGTGCTAGGGGAGCAGTGATAGAACATAGAAAACACAGTTTAGTTTGGCTGAGTATATACAGGGGAGTCACAAAGCAAGAAAGGATGACTAAGGACGGAAACTGATCACTTGGGATGCCAAGCTGAAGATTTCTGTCTCCTCAGTGGGTAAAGGGGAGTCATCGAAGGCACTGGAGCATGGGCAGTAATGATGGATAGGAATTTCTAAAGTGCAGGGTGGAAGAAGGACTAACTAAAGGGGAGAAATTGGTAAAGATACTTTGCAATGGTTGATAATGACCTCAATTACAAGAACCTGACTGTGGGTAGAATGGTGATGAAAGGGAAGATGCAGCCTCTGAGAAAGAAGGAGCCTGTCACAAGAATACAGTGACATCTGAATGTATTATAATTTCAGTACTTGCCTGCTTTGAAGAATCTTTGAGAACATTTTCAACACTGTCTTCTGAAGAGACTGTATCTGGTGGTTCACAGTCCACCTGAAACACCTTTGTTACAATGCCACTCTGTCTGCAGTCTCTGAAATTTTTTTTAAAAGAAAAAATCTGTGTATTACACAAAGATTCCCAAAAAGGTGGCTAGCAATTAAGATAACTATTAAAGCTCCTCAGTCTAGCTACTAAATTTACTATATCTTAAATCATAGAAATCAAAATATAATTCCTAGTCTTTCCTTACCTTGTTCACATTTGGGTTATCTATTGCTCTGTAACAGACCACTCCAAAATGTACTGTGTTAAAACACAAATCTGTGGTTAACCAGCTCCGTCTGTGATCTCTTGTGTCTCTCCCTCTCTCTTCCTTTCTCCTTCATTTCCTCACTACTTCCTCTCTCCCCCACTCTCTTTCTCCACGTGGTTAGCTTGAGCTTCCTCATCGTATGGAAGTCTGAGGGGAGTTAGACTGCCTGCATGGTAGCTGCCTTCCCTCAGTGTTTATGCTCTAGGAAACCACAGTATAAACTGCAACACTGTGTGACCTAGACTTGCCATCATTTCTGAAGCATTCTATTAGTCAAAAATAAATCATGGGGCCAGCCAAGATTCCGGTGGAGGGGCTACACTGGGAGGCACAGTTCATGGAGCACATTTTTGGAGACTATCTATCATACTCACCATAAAGATTTCATACTGTAAGACTCAAACTATTCTAAAACAAAGAATGGGGTTACCTAGATATATATCATTCCATGTGAGTCAAGGGAATTTTCCTTACCACAGCTGTAGGTAGCATAATATGTGCTGTATGTTGCACTGGTAGATTTTAACTATTATCCCTCAAATACTAGCATACTTTTAATTTATTCACAATATATCACAATTAATCTTGTTCTTCTCTGATGCAAAAGAGGTTTCATGAGAAAGTAATATAGAGGTGCCCATAACTAAAAACTGGTGATGATTTATTCTCAGTACCAGCAGCTTACCTATACTCTTAATTTTTTAAAACAGCTTTATCGAGGTACAACTTCCAAGACATAAAATGCACCTAATTTAAGTATGTAGTCTGATGATATTTAGTAAACTTACAAACTTTGCAATTATCACCACAATCCCGTTTTAAAATATTTCCAAGAGGTGGCTCCATAGTGTAGTGGTTAGCACATCTGCTTTCCACAAAGAAGGTCCTGGGTTCATGCACCAGGTGGAGCCACAGACCATACCCTGGGTGCGCCAGGCCCCTGGTGTGCCAGGTCCCAGGTGCACGCCACGAGAGTGTGGGAGGAAACACCCTGCCTTCAGAGATCCAGTTCTTACAAGGAAACAGCAACATCCATAGGTCAGGAGTAGAAAGGGGGGAGGCATTAAAGAGGAGGAAAAAAACATTTCCATCACCCCCCAAAATTCCTTGTACCTATTTGTTGTAGTCACTCCATGCTATCACCTTGATCTGCTTCCTATATCTAAAGTTTTTCCTTTTCTAAGAAATTTAAAATAAATATAATCATACAAATATAGTCTTATGTTTTACTTCTTCCTCTTAATGTTTTTATGAGGTTCAACCATGTTGTTGTGTGGATGTAGCCATATCAATAGTTTCCTCATTTTTATTGTTTAGTAGCATTCCATTTTATTTATGTACCATAGCCTGTCCATTCCCCAGTTGATGGTCATTTGAATATTTTCCAGTTTTGAGCTATTATGAACAATGCTGCTATAAACATTCACATGTAAGTCTTCATGTGGACATGTTTTCATTTCTTCTGGATAGATACCCAGGAGTGGAATTGCTGGGTCATATGGTAAAGATATGTTTAACTTTTTAGAAACTCCTAAACTGTGGCTGTTCCATTTTACATCCCCACCATTTTCTGAGGATTCCAGTTTCTCCACATATTTGCCAACACTTGGTATTTTCAGCCTTTTTTGATCATCTGTACTCTTGATCATATTCTCTGTAAATATTTACTTGACATAAGTTTCTTGTGTATTAGGCTATAAGCTTGGCTATTGTAACACAGAAACAAAAAAAATACTGGCTTAATATAGAAGCAACAGGGTGTAATCTACCTTGTTGCTCACCATCCCAAGGTCATTGCACTTGTGCTCTTGACCCAACATGGCTGATTACCACAACCACATTCTAGCCAGCAAGAAGCAGGACCATTGTCTTCTTTCTTTATTTTTCTTTGTCTGCTTTGTTCTTATTGATTTTCTTTTTTTAAAATGTTTTTAACATTTTATTTTTTTATTTCTTCCCCCTCCCCGCTCCACCTTCCCTTCTGGCAACCACTGGTCCATTGTCCATGTCCATGAGTCTCTGTCTGCCTGTCCTGTTCATTGTTGCTTTTAGGTTTATATCCTATATATAACTGATATCATGTGATTTTCAACTTCTTCTGTCTTGCTTATTTCGCTCAGTATGATTATCTTGAGGTCCATCCATGTTGTTGCAAATGGCAGTATTTCATATCTTCTTATGAGTCATACTCCATTGTATATATGTACCACAGCTTCTTTAGCCAATCATCTGTCATAGGACACTTCAGTTGCTTCCATGTCCTGGCCACCGTGAATAATGCTGCTGTGAACATTGGGGTGCATATATCTTTGTGGATAAATGTTTTACGGTTTT